TGTGTGTGTGTGTGTGTGCGCGTTCCAGTATTATTATATTTCAGTGGTTTGGAGTCATGAAATACGGCGGAAGTGACGAACCGCGGGGTTATCTCAAATGTTTAAATAATAACTCTGCAAAAAAAATTGTAGAGAGTTCGACGACCCCACGTTTTTCTCGTCTCGGAAAGCTCTTTCGAACGAGCCTTCACTCGACCCCACATTCCATTTAAAATTTTTTGACCCCCTCCTTCCCCCGCCCCCCGGAGGTGCGGAGAAGGATGTTTTTGTGATTAAATAATAGACTTTGTGATCCCATTGTATCCCTATAAATTTCAATCCTATATTACAAACCATTCAAAAGTAATTTAGGTGGCCCGGAACTTTTGCGATACTGCCATAAGCCGGTCTTCTCTGATAATCTAGGACTCTACAGTAACTAAAGGTTGGATGTTGGAACGCACCCCAGCGTGTTTCACTAGACTTTTCAGTGCGCACGCCGCACGGAAGGCGGTGCGCGCTGTTTTACTGGAAGGCTGTTTTGTATCGGCTTGCCGGAAAGTGTTAACGAGAAGGTTAATTTTCTTACCATATTGATAGGTTAAACGCTCTAAAATAAATAGAAACTGACTTCTACAAACATGTTTGTAAACTTATCTGATTATCTAATGTTAATCTCTTGCACAATGTCGTAAGCACTATAAAAAAATATCTTAGAGGAACTACGAAAACGAGTTCTACTCATAATATTTTAGGTTATCTCATATTGATCTGTATTGATCATATTGTTTTTTATGAAATTTCATATATTTATATTTATTCCTCCTTAATGTAAAAAAGAAAATATTATTTTTATTAGGAGTGAAATTTGATAAAAGTAGAAAACGAAATAAATTTTGTGAAAGCATTTTCTAAATCTATATGTGTTTATATAGCATACATTTTTAACATCTTTATTGTAGAATACGTTGAATTATTATATCATATCTTATTTTTGTAAATAAAATTAAAGAAATTTTAATTTTGATTAAATGATCTTAATAGAAAATTTATTTTATGAGGCTAAGATATATATATTACAGCCTTGGCCATAAGTACCCTCAATTTATTACATTTTCTTGGAAAAGTGAAAAGACAGTGATAAGAGCTAAACGAGGATTAACAAAATATCAAAATTGTTATAAAAGTAAATATTATTTTCCAATAAAATTTTTTAAAATTTATTTTTGTTAGATATAGACCGTTTGTTAGATATCTACATCAATTTGTAGAGCTGTTTTATACTTACGACCAAGGCTGTATAATAGTATAAATAGTTTAAATTATTATGATATAATAATTTATTTAGGTAATTAAAGAACAGTTTACTGCGCATAGAAAGGAGAGCAACAATGGCTTTGACATGGATGGATAAATACAAGCTCATTACTAGAAATCTAGCAGAATGGTTGGGAGATGAAAAACTTAAAAGTATTCTAAAGGAACGTGATCTGAAGCTGTATTGGGGTACAGCTACAACAGGAAAGCCCCATATAGGCTATTTTGCCCCTATGTCCAAGATAGCTGATTTCTTACGAGCTAAATCCGAGGTGACGATCCTCTTTGCAGATCTCCATGCATATTTAGATAATATGAAAGCCCCTTGGGAGCTTCTAGAGCTTCGTACTCAATATTACGAAGCTGTAATCAAAGCCATGTTAAAGTCTATTGATGTACCATTGGACAAATTAAAATTTATTAAAGGCACAGACTATCAATTGTCCAAGTAGGTATTAATTTAAGTTTTTTGTATCTTAGGATTTTGGATTAAATATTTCTTCAGTTTAATCTGATATTCCAGATGGGGCATTTTAATCGCTCCAGGTGGATATCTCAGAAACTAAGAGATACACAAAAAAGTTATATAAAAGTTGTTTGACTTCAAGGGGGACATAAAGTGGTAACATTGACTTGACCTTGGATGGCGTTGTCAAAGTCAGGGAAAGGTCACTTTAAATTTTCTAAATGGGACCCCTCATTTTTTATTGCATATTCTTGTAGCTCATCTGGAGAGCTTTTCAAAATACATAAATAAAATATTTTTTGAGTAAGTAAATCTTGAATTATGAAGTTTGAAAGTTGCAGTATTGTCGGCATTATCATTATCCAAGGTGTTCGGACACTGGCTAAAACCTTTTAAGTTGTTCAGGATCATAATCTTGATAGAACATGTGAAGGTCATGACCATTGGAAATTGATTCTTTTTTTTTTCAAAAAATAAAAATTTTCAAAAATGAAAATAAAAGCAATAACCTTTAATGGCCTTGATCTTGACATGTGTTGTCAAGGTGATACCCTGAACAGCATTCAAAAGGTTTTAGCCAGCGTTCGGATATCTTGGATAATGCTAATGCTGATGGTACTGCAATTTTTAAGCTTCATAACTAAAGATTTACTTAATAAAAAAATATTTTATTTATGTGTTTGGAAAGATCTCGAGATAAGTGACAAGAATATGCAATAAAAAATAGGGGGTTCCATCTAAAAAATTTGAAATGACCTTTCCCTGATCTTGACAGCGCCATCCAAGGTCAAACCAATGATACCACTAAATAAGTCCCCCTTGAAGTCAAACACATAAGTCCCCCTTGAAGTCAAACAATTTTTATATAAAATTTTTTCTTGTATCTCTTTTAGTTTCTGAGATATCCGCCTGGGGCGATTAAAATGCCCACCCGATATATTGTATTTATTAATGTAATATTACAATTAAAATCTTTTTTCAAGGGAATACACATTAGACGTATATCGTCTAAGCTCGTTGGTGACAGAGCATGATGCGAAGAAAGCAGGTGCCGAAGTTGTTAAGCAAGTCTCTAATTCACTGTTATCAGGTCTTCTCTATCCAGGTCTGCAAGCTCTTGATGAACATCACTTAAAGGTTGACGCACAATTTGGTGGCGTCGATCAAAGAAAAATCTTCACCTTTTCAGAGAAATATCTACCAATGCTAGGTTATGAAAAACATATTCATCTGATGAATCCGATGAGTCAGTATTGAGTGTAAAAATGAATCTTTTGCATATTATTGCACTTCTGCATCTTATTAAATATAAACTTTTTTATGTTTGCCTTTTATTCAGTTCCTGGCTTGGCTGGTGCTAAAATGTCTTCATCTGAGGAAGATTCCAAGATTGATTTATTGGACAATCCTGTGGCAGTAAAGAAGAAGCTGAAGAAAGCGTTTTGTGAGCCAGGAAATATTGTAGATAATGGAATTTTAGCGTTTTCCAAACATGTTATATTTTCATTATTCAAAGATGACGAAACTTTTAACGTATCGAGAGCTGCAGAATTTGGTATGCGATTTATACACGCGAATTTATAGGAGACAGAAATATATTGTAATAAATTTTGTCGCATCTTCATGATTTTAGGCGGTGATGTATCTTTTTCCAAGTATGAAGATTTAGAAGCTGCCTTTGCGAACCAAGAAATACATCCTGGTGATTTGAAAAATGCCGTAGAAATATACATCAACAGACTTCTTGATCCAATAAGAAAAGAATTTGAAGCAAACTCAAAACTGAAATCGCTCGCGAGCAAAGCATATCCTCCTCCTCAGAAACAAAGTAATTTTCTTAAAGTTTTTTGTATTTAGCCAAGTATATTTAACGATAGAATTTTATCATTTGTTACCATTGAGAATTATATGAGATTAGTTTTGTATTGTAATTATGATTTTTGATCCAGAAACTGTGGAGGCAGAAATTACTCCCACAAGACTAGATATCCGAGTGGGTAAAATAGTTGAAGTGAAGAGACATCCCGATGCAGATTCGCTATACGTCGAAAAAATAGATTTAGGTGAATCAAATGGTCCACGCACTATAGTCAGCGGTTTAGTTAATTTTGTACCTTTGAATGAAATGGAAAATAGGATGGTAGTAGTTCTTGCCAATCTGAAACCAGCAAATCTCAGGGGAATTTCATCGCATGGAATGGTTCTCTGTGCCTCAGTGTGAGTGTTCCATTATATATATATATATATA